CTTAGCGGTTTAAGAGAAGAAGGTACTTGCATATAATGATGGAAAATAATTTTAGAGGTATCTCCAAGGTTGGAAGAGGCCAAAAACTATTCTTAAAGTTTCCTGTTAGGGAAATAACCTTCTTTCCTGGTGAAAACAGCTATTTTAAAATGGCAGTAGAAGAAAACAAGGTGAGAATTTGAAGGTGTGGAGAGGGGCATAGAAGAGGCAAGTATACAGAATATATAGAAGAGGAAGTGGTTCCTAGAATTGAGGATCAGGAGACTAGAGTAGTGGTTTGCAAGTTTGATCCTGCATAAGAATTACTTGTGGGAGCCATTTAGACATGTTAGTTCTTGAGTATCACCGTCAGAGATCCTGATTCTGGAAGGGGCTGAGATAGGAAGTGGAGGTACTATTGAGAAGTTATTGAAAATGGATATATTTAAGAAACCACAGGTATTCAAATGTATGTGGTCTATGACCTGAAGTTCCAGAATATTAAAAGCTCCCTGCTCGTGAGTTTCCTGTCTTCTTTATAGGTCCCTGAAATCTTTGTAAAGCCAATGTCCAGTTCTGGTCTGCAATTGGCCATTTCTGGGGTTCTGTATTGTCTGTGGCACTGTTTAGTTGTAAAGGTCCTAATGTTTATCGGTGACAGAGGGAGATTTTTTTCTGGAAAAGGAGCACGGTGTAGCACTTTGGTTTTTAGATATTGGGAAAAAGACAGTGAGAAGCTGACCTAGGAATAAAACAAATCATATTTAGGAGCATAGAAGTGGGATTTGTATTATCTGTGTTTCTTTATATGATTAGTAAAAGAATACAATTGCAAGGAGAGGAACAAAACCTGACAATTAGAGACTTAAGAAAGGCACAGATAAAAATATTAGTAAGTGAAATCTTCAAAAGTATCTTAAAACTCATTAAAGTGTGAAGATTCAAGGTTGTTGCTCAAGTTATGATTTAAAGAGCATAATCCTTAAACAGGGAGCTCTGGTAGCATAGTGCCTAAGGCACTTGACTGCTAACCAGAAGGCTGGCAGTTCAAACCCACCAGCCACTCAGAAGGAAGATGGGGCAATCTACTTCCGTAGTGATACTGCCTCAGAAACCCAAGAAGGGGTCACTATGAGTCGGATACAACTCAATGGCACATAACAACAACAACAATCCTTAAATAATCATTTCTAACATTCTAATAGTTTTCTCAAGAAAAGGAAATGTTTACAGTCTTTTGCAATTTAGTTCTTTTTTGTGAAGATGAATAACTTTAGTTGATTCCATCACTCCACCATCACCGATTAGTCTAGAAGGCACCTTACCTGAAGCAGCATCGTTTCCCATAGTGCGATACTAGCGTTCTGTCCTAGAAATAGAAATTGGTGCAATCACTACAAAAAAGTTCAAGACTCAAATTCTTCCTTGCCAGGACATTGTGGATGTTGGGATTCCATTTCAGACTCCTTCCTTATATAAAATGGTCATGTCTATGAAATTTCCTATGCTGGCAACTTTGAAAGGCTAATTAGGTGGGCAGAAGGTCCTCAACCTGTGACAATTGAGGCCATTTTGCTAATTTCAAAAATAAGTGCTGAAATGACCTTACTCTAAGGTTTTGAATATTAATGAGTAATAACAACATTCTAGGAAAGTACCAAAAGAAAGAAAGAAAAAAACAAAAATGAGTTTCTGCTAAGGATGTTACTCACTAGGTCCTGTTGCAGTTCAAGTATTTGGCAGAGAAATAGGATATAAAGAGTCATGAAAAAAATACAGCTGTCTACCTTGCATATCAAGTTCATTGTTTTACAGTCTACAATGAACAATAATGGCTTTAGACAGAGAACTGGTCTCATTTCCTTTTTTCCTTACTTCCTTGGATAAAGACCTGACCTCACTCCCTTGTACCTTCCAGAGGCTGCAGGAGCTCAGGTAGGTGTGTTTTCCAGAGGTCTACCAATTTTGGGTGAATGATCTCAGGCAATATCTTCAGAAGTCCTATTGCACCAGCTCCAAGCAATTTTCCTAAACTGGCGAGCATAGATATTACCTGAAGGATGGGATGGAAAATGCTGATCAGTTCAAGGGTATTTAGAAGGCCTACCTACCTGCTTATTTTACCATTGTTCAGGATTCTCCTGAGTCCCACATTGGATAATCGTCTAACAAATCAATACAGTAGATTTCGACTTATTGTAGAGCAAAGCTAATATACAGACAACACATCCTCCCTTTTTATTCCCCTTCAGTATAAAGGTGAAAAAATGTATGACAGACACCAACCAAAATTAAATGGAAGCTACTGATTCTCAAAGATAACTAATAGTTAAATAAAAGTATCTGGAAATAGTGCTTGAGTACACAGATACAGATGTGGCCAAAGGGAGAAAAGGAAAATTCAGAGTTAAAATTTATAAAGTTCAACAGGTATTTCAGAGTGGGAAGATAATCTTGTCAACAATAAACCTTCAAGAGTGTCATGCCATTTTAGTTTGGAGTATGTATATGATTTTTATTAATATTTGTTTTACAGCTTAATTATTTCTATCAGCTTAAATTTACCCCACATTTTTTATTTGTAACTCACTTACCAGGAGCCTGGCCAGTAGCTGCTGTGATGAAGGAAGTTTCACTAGAAAGAGAAGACAATTTTCATTATTACTGTGGGGGCTGAAAAATTCAAATTGGGTTTGGAGATCAGGTCAAAGCACTATAGGGAACAAGTCTCTCATTAGAGAAAAGTTTTGCTTTGTTTTTGATTATACAAACCAGCTCCAGTGGAGATGACAAGTGCTGTTGACTCCTTGTCATTAACTTTCTTCCTCTCTTCTGCCATAATGAGGATTCTGACAATGTTAAATAGGTATGCCAGAGTTCCTGTGTATTCCGCTGGCACCACAAAAGTCAAGATTCTTGGCCATAGCACCTGCAGAAAACATAGGGCACAATGCAAGGATTGTTTATTCTTTTTCCATTACTTCTCCTTGGTCTTTACTGTGTGGTTTTCTCTGATTTAGAAACTTTTCTTTTAGTCATTGTAATTTTGCTATTAAGGCCAAGTCAAATGAAGTCTTTAAATAAAATATCTGTACAGCACATCCATTTTCAGGGTTGTTGTAGTGAGAGTTGCTGAGTGTTTCTCATGAGATTGTTGTTAGAATTTTGCACAGAACAATTCTTCATTGTGAGGGACTGTTCCAGACACTGCAGGGTATGTAGTATTCCTGGACTTCACTCACCAACTGCTGGTAAACCCCTTGTCAATACGATGACCTAAAATGCCACACATATTTCCAAACACTCCAAAGGGGAAGGAGATTGTCCCAGGTGAGAACCACTGGGAGAACATAGGGAAGAGGTTGCTATTACTTTCTGCTTCAGGCTCTGGTATTCCTGCTCTGGATATCTGGAACATCGATAGTCTCGTTAGTATGTTTCATGTCTTTTGAAAAATCACCTTGTCATAATGGAAACCTTGGAGCTCTGGTAGCATAGTGCCTAAGGCACTTGACTGCTAACCAGAAGGCTGGTGGTTCAAACTCACCAGCCACTGCTTGGAAGGAAGGTTAGGCAATCTACTTCCGTAGTGATATTGCCTTGGAAACCCAAGGAAGTGTCACTACGAGTCGGGTCCGACTCGATGGCATTTAACAATGACAACAACAACAATGAAAACCTTAGTGTCATCTTGGACTGTTTCCTTTTCTTTTCTTTTTTTTCTTTCTGTGATCTATATTTAATCATGAAGCCCAGTCCTTTGGTCATCATAATATCTCTAATGCCCTTCCATGCTTTTGTTCCTACTCTCACATCAACTCCAGTTCCTATGAGTTGCATCTGACCTCATATGTCATATCTCTGCTTTTAGTACATCCCTAAGCCAATTGAGAATGGTGACAAAATGTTGTTACCTGTGGCATTCCAATGACCAATGGATCAAGGTTTTTTAAGACCTCAAGGCTTGTTTCTAGGACAGATTTCTCTCCCTTTTCGTCCTCAGGGGAGTTGGATTTCATCAATTTCTCCTTTAAGAAACATGAAACACATCACTTGCTAACAATATTTAATGTTTTTCCCCTTAAACCTTACTTGGATGTGCTCTCAGATTCTGGAGTGGAGGATGTAGACATTCAACTTAAGGGGCTCATGGAACTGAATGATTTTGGTCCTCAGCATCTGTTGTTGTGTTGTTATGTGCCGTCGAGTCAGCCCTGACTCATAGCGACCCCTCCTTGGGTTTCCGAGGCACTATCACTACGGAAGTAGGATTGCCCAACCTTCCTTCTGAGGAGTGGCTGGTGGGTTTGAACCACCAGCCTTCTGGTTAGCAGTCAAGTGTCTTAGCCACTATGCTACCAGAGCTCCTCCCTCTTTTAAAGTGTCTCTTGAAGGAATGGTGTGTTGTGCCGAAGGCATTTGAATGCTAACCAGAAGGCTGGTGGTTCAAACCCACCAGGCACTCCTCAGAAGGAAGGTTGGGCAATCTACTTCCATAGAGACACTGCCTTGGAAACCCAAGGAGAGGTCACCATGAGTTGGATCTGACTCGACGGCAGTGGGTTTTGAAGGATTGAGTTAGGAAATACATATCTGGCTAAAATAGAATAATAAAACCTATGAGGGTCCTGGAACAGCAGTTAATCCTTCCCCTCACTCTTCTCAGGCCTATGCAATTTTCTCTGGGGCAAAAATTTTCAAAGACATTGCCTCCTAGTGGAATTGAGAGTAATTTTATTTTAATTCATTCATTGACTTATTTTGAGCTGTTACAATAGACCAGGCACTATTTCAATTAAACTCAAAAACCAAACTCACTGCCATTGAGTCCATTCTGACTCAACTCCTGTTGGGTGTCTAAGGCAGTACATCTTTACAGAGGTAGATTGCCCCATCTTCCTTCTGCAGAGCAGCTGGTGGATTTGAACCACTGACTTTCCGGTTAGCAGACAAATGCCTTATTCACTACATCACCAGAGCTCCTTTACCTAATAAATATTTATTAATGAGAGTTGGGGGTGTGTCTGAGAGACTGGGAGGGGCTCACAGTGTGACCTTCTCCTGGGAAGGATGCTTATTCCAGGAGATACTCTGCAGAAGGCTGGAGAAGCATAATGCCTTGTTAGGTTCAAAGAAATTAATTTGGGAAGTAATTTTAGTTGTGATGAAGTTGCTAAGATCACTGAGCTCTTAAGCACTTGTTTTTCAGTGTCTGTTGTTTTTATCTCCTACAATACATTCCCTCCATGCTTCTACAACTACCCCTCCCCCCAGCCTTTGGAGGTCAAGTTGTCTCACCCTTAGGAAAAACTATATTCCAATCTACCATGTGTTTATTATAAGAAGCTCTGGTGGCACAGTGCCTAAGGCATTTGACTGCTAACCAGAAGGTTGGTGGTTCAAACCCACCAGTCCCTCTGTGGAAGGAAGATGAGGCAATCTACTTCCATAAAGATTAACCAACTTGGAAACCCAATGGAGTATGCTATAAGTTGGAATCAACTCAATGGCAGTGGGTTTGGGTTTTGTGTTTATTATAGAGACACTGGGTGGTGCCAACATTATCAGCTGAGGTTTGAGTCCACTCATACATTCCTCAGAAGAAAAGTGTGGTGATCTACTTCAAAAAAGCAGTCATTGAAAACATTATGAAGCACAGTTCTACTGACACACATTGAGTGACCATGAGTTTGGTACAGACTCAATGGCCAATAGTTCTGATTGCATTCAGTGTAATTAAGAAGTTATATCAGTGAACAGGAACTGAGAAAACTAGAGGCTGAAAAATTATTCATCAGTAAAAGTGATAAAGTTGACATATAATTTCTAAATCAATTATTAGATTGAACCCCACCTATTTCATTTTTTTTTATTAAGCAGTTGAGTGAGTCTGCTGCAAGTGTTTAAGTAAAATGCTCAAAACTGTACCATTTTCATACCAGATTCTTGTTGGATATTGCATACTGGGAGAAGATATAATCAATCAGGGGCCATCCTTCCCGGGCTTCAATATAGCTCTTTTCACACATAGTCTGGATGAGGAAAAGTGTGGAGTTTCTCACCTACAGTAAGAAAAATACATTTTCAGCATTTTACTAGTTTGGGCATAATGAAATTTTAGCTTATTTTATTCCTCACCCTTCATAGATCATTTACAGGGAACAATTGGAAACAGGAGTATAAACTGAGTGATCTGTTACCATAAATAAATAAATAGAGCAGGTAGTAACCTATAGGTTATGATTTAAAGGTTACCAGAAAGACCTTCTTTCATCAAAATCTTCTTCCCAGCCTCCAGAGTCTTACCTTCTAAGACTATACCTTATGCAATTTTAGTAACTTTGTGTTAAAATATTGCCTTGCTTTTTAAATTCTCAATGACAAATATTATATTGAAGTATAGGTCCACATTTCCTTATCCACAATTTCAAAATATAAAAAACCCTGAACACCCAGTTTTCTTTCCTTAAGTTTGGCACCAACTCATTTGATAGCAAGACCCAAGCTGAATCGATATAAATCTAATTGTAGTTTTACATATTCTACATAATGTGGACCATGACTCATCTGTCAGCTTGTCATACTGTGGTAGCTTGTGTGCTGTGAGTCTGGAGGCTATGCCATTGCTATTTCAAATACCACCCATAATGGACAGGTTTCAGTGGGGCTTCCAGACTGAGACAGAGAGGAGAGAAGGATGGGGTGAATCACTTCTGAAGAAGTTTGTCAGTGAGGACCTGATGAATAGCAATGAAACACTACCTGAAATATCACTGGAAAATTTGATGAATAGCCCTGAAACATTGTCTGATACAGTACCCAAAGATGAGCCCGCTGGGTTGGAAGGCACTCAAAATACAATTGAGGAAGAACTGCCTTCTCAAAGTAGAGTTGACTTTAATGACATTGATGGAGTAAAGCTTTTGAGATGTCCATTGGCTGACAGGACACAATGCAGAATAAACAGCTGCAAATATACATTAATAATCAGAACGTGGAATATATGAAATACGAATCTAGAAAAATTGGAAGTTATCAAAAAATGAAATGGAATTCATAAAGATCAATATCATTGGCATTAGTGAGCTGAAATGGACTGATATTGGCCATTTTGAATCAGACAATCATATGGTCTACTAAGCTGGGAATGACAAATTGAAGAGGAATGGTGTGGCATTCATCACCAAGAAGAATATTTCAAGTTCTATCCTGAAGAACAGTGATGTCAGGGATAGGATAATATCCATATGCCTACAAGGAAAACCAGTCATTGCTACTATTATCCAAAGATGAAGAAATAGAAGATTTTTACTAACTTCTGCAGTCTGAAATGGAGCAAACATGCTATCAATATTAATTGATTATTACTGGTGATTGGAATGCAAAAGTTGGAAACAAAGAAGAATTATTAGTAGTTGGAAAACATGACTTTGATGATAGAAATGACTCTGGAGATTGGATGATAGAATTTTGCAAGACCAATGATTTATTCCTTGCAAATACCCTTTTTTCAACAACCTAAACAGAAGCTATACATGGAGCCCTCACCAGATGGAATACACATGAATCAGATCGATTACATCTGTGGAAAGAGGTGATGGAGAAGCTCAGTATCTTCAGCCAATAATAGGCCATCTATCACTCATATGCATGTCAAATTGAAGCCGAGAACAATTAAAACAAGTCCAAGAGAGCCAAAATATGACCTTGAATATGTTCCCACTGAAGTTAGAGATCATCTGAAGAATAGATTTGATGCATTGACCACCAATGACCAAAAACCAGATGCACTGTGGGAGGATAT